CTACTGTTTTATTAACATACTACTGTATTACTGCTGTAATATAAACAGACCTCTGTTTACTAATTTGTCACATTTAAACACTTTAATTTACCAGCATTTCTCCCCTATTTTGGCCTTTCTTCATTTAAAAAAAAAATCTCAAAAGACCCTGGAAGCATCCGATAACTTGCTCTCCAGGTCATCTGATAAGCAAGTGAGATCACCTCCCTACTGGTTCCATCAAAATCCTGATTTCCAGGGCTGTCTGGAACAGGTATGCGCCTTCTGGCTCCACAGTGCCTTTCAAGGATCTTTCTGGCAACTTCCTCCCCTAGTTGTCATGAGAGAAACCTCAGTCTTAGCATTACTTGAAGCACCTCTGAGCTGTCACATAAATGTGCCCAATCTGCCTCAAGAGTTTAGACAACCACAGGACAGGCAGGTGGATGCTACAGCAAGATATGTATCCAGTAAGAATAAACTGGCTCTAGGCAGTCCAGATTTCCAGGAGTCCTGGGCAGGGCCTCCCAAATCACTATCACCTCAGGTAACCACAGTGTGAGAAACCCTGGTTTTCATCCTTAGTCCCTTGGAACATCTGCCCCACCTACTCACCCCTACCCCCCAGCAGCTTGGCAGCTAAATGTCTCACACATCAGGCAGCCAGAACATCTGGTGCAGCACTTGCCACCTCAGCCCCTGCTGTGGCTGAATTTATTATATGTTCCCATCACTATTGTGCTCCCAAGGATGAGGTTTCCACAGATGTGCTCATGCACTAGGCTTGTAGGGATTTGGAGAGCAAAAGAAACATCCATCTTCCCCCACAAGGATACATATCCTCCTAGAAGGGGCCCAGCCTCTTTCTTGTGAGTAGAAGCTCTGAGATTCTTAAGCTACCCCTTCATTGTCATCCTGCTGGGGCTAAGCTCCATCCTCAGTGAATCTCTCATAGGAGGGACCCCCAAGGCCCAGGCACTAAATGTCCATAGAGGGACTGCTAATGCACTGCCCAAGAGCCAGAAACAGGCAGAGTAGGGTTAAGATGTCTGTCTGGTCAGTTCTCTGAGGTTCAGGCAAAGGAAGGAGACAATAGCGGAAGAAAGCACAGACCCAATGCTAATGCTAGATCATAAGATATCTTTGCACATATTTGGACAGGCTCTTTTGGGCATATGTAGGCACCTTTCCAAAGGTGTACCTGCCAGGATGCACAGCTTGGTGGGCATAGAGACTAGATTTTAGCCCTCACTTGCTCCCTCCACCAGATGACCTTGCACAGGACATCTGGAACAACTGTTAGGTAACTAACAGCCCTGCTCAGAGAAAGCAGCGGTAGGAGGAGATTAAAAAGAAAAAGAAAGGACGCGTGGCACTCAATGCACACCACAACTGCCCTTTACCTTCTTCCCACTGGGTCCACTCAGAAGCGTCTAGACAGGCCCCCACATCACTGCTGTAATCACCCCTAACCCTCCCTCTGCCTACATTGTCTGTTCACATCCCATCCATCCTTCAAGGTCTTTGGAGCATTCTCCTTTGGGAGGTACACAATGCTCTTCATATCTGCTCCCTTAGAGGCCCTTAATATGTCTCTAGGCCAGTGCCTGGTCACCTTTCTGTAGTCGCATCTCCCCTACTTCAAAACTACAGGCCTGCCTGACGCTCCACAGCATCTGGCACAGGGCAGCGCATAGTAGGACCTTCAGCATCTACATGTTGACTGATTATGATGGAAGAACATAAAGTAGGGGCTGAAAGGACTTCTCAGTCTGGCCCCAGTTTGACCACCAGTGATCCCTGGGATCACCTGGAAAAACTCCCACCTCACTTCCCATATGGGATACAGTGGATGGATGAGTAATCTCCAAGGGTTCTGCTGGCACTGAATCTTTATTCGTTGTAAGACTCAGAAGCCAGGGTCCCCACTAGCCAACTTTATCATCCTTGTCACCCCCATGTCCAGTACAGTGCCTGGACAAAAGCAGGCAGTCAACATGGACTGTGGTTGCCTCGAAATAAAACAAGAATAACTCTCTATGCTTTGGCAACCTGAGCATTTGACTTGATGTTTTATTTATAAAATCACAGATACCAACCCTGGCCAACTCAAGTAGAACATTCCCACGAAGAAAAGGCATATGAAGGGAATTCTCATGCAATCAGTGGGAAGGCTGGAGAACCCAGGCTCAGAAAATAGACAGAGGAAGACCAGAGCCACAGCTGAGGGTAGGGTCAGGGAAGAGTTTAGTCAGGGTGTCTGCTAGCTCCTGGCCACCTCTTCCCCCCTTGGCTACTGGCTCTTCCAGACTGTTGCCATGACACAAGTAAACTCTGAACTATTGCCAGCTCATAGACTAAATTCCAAATGGGGCATCTGATAGACTATACTTAAAATAACGTGGCCATACCCTAATTGTGAGGACCAGCAAGGGGTTCTTGTATATTCAAATTCCTGGATACAAAGGTTCTTCAGGTACTAAGTACATAAAACACTGACAAATACCTATTCCACTGGCTAAACCAATTTTCTCTCCCAGGAGAATTTGAAAAAGAGGTTGTAGTGGGCTGAATAGTGATCCCTCAAAAGAGATTTCCATCCAGAACTTCAGACTGTGACATTACTTGTAATGAAGGCCTTTGTAGATATGCTTAAGGTAAGGATCTTAAGACCATCCTGAATTAGCTGGGCCCTAAGTCCAATGGCAAATGTCCCTCTAAGAGACAGAGAAGGAGAAGACACAGACACAGAGAAGGCCATGTGAACAAAGGAGGCAGAGACTGGAGTGTTGTGGCTACAAACCAACAAATGGCCAATGCTGCAGCCAGTAGCCTCCAGAAACTAGGAGTGGCATGGAACGGATTTTCTCTCAGAGTCTCCAAAACGAAGCAAACCCTGCTGACACCTTGATTTCAGACTTTTGAGCTGTGAGAGACTAAACTGTTGTTCAAGTCACCCAGTTTGTGAAATTTTGTACAACAGCTCAAAGAAACAAAGACAGGTCCCAGGAGTGTGAAAGACCAGACTGGAGAGAGTGGATTGGGGCCACGGGGAAGCTGTGGAGAAAAACAGAGGCCCGAGGCAGACAGAGGACCTCTGGGCTCCTGCTGACTCATAGAGGTCCCCAAAACCCTTGGATTCCCTGAGATGGCCAGTACCCATCCAACAATCACCCTTTCTTACATAACTTAATTGAAACCACTTACTGTGACTTCCAATACATCTTAAGCCCTTATATCTGACTGATATAGCTGATTCAGTAATACAGTCACTTACTGTGACTTCCAATAAATCTTATGCTCTTATATCTGACTGTGATATAGCTGATGCAGTGATATAGTCACTTACTGTGACTTCCAATAAATCTTAAGCCCTTATATCAGGCCTGAATCCACCAGCCAGATATCAAGGGGAGGAGGCTGGATCCCACAATACAGCACTGTTCCTTAATGACTATCCCCCTGGCCAGAATGAAGTTGGGGGATGTTTGGGCCTCTATTACTTAAGGGAGAGGGTTGGTGACCAGAGAAAAGTGATTCTTGACATGCAGAGTAAAGACCTGCTGGCATAGACAAATTTATGACATCAAAGGTGAAAAGGAGGTTGAGGGAAGGGATTCCACCATGTGCTGGCTGCCCAGATGGGCTAGCTCTCTCTCAGGCCAGGGAACCCAGGTGCCCTTGCCAGCTCACCCTGTGGTGGTCACAAAGCACCACTGTGGTGTCCATCCAAGCACCACTCCAAGAGACTGGGACAAAGAAGTCCTTACTGGACAGGAGAAGACACGTGAGGGAAGCTCCCACACTTTTTTTTTTCAGACAGAATCTCACAATGTTGCCCTCAGTAGAGTGCCGTAGCATCTCAGCTCACAGCAACCTCTAACTCTTGGGCTTAAGAGATTCTATTGCCTCAGCCTCCCAAGTAGCTGAGACTATAGGTGCCTGCCACAATGCCCAGCTATTTTTTGGTTGCAGTTGTCTTTGTTGTTTAGCTGGTCAGGGCCGATTGGAACCCGCCAACCTCAGTACATGTGGCTGGCGTCGTAACCACTGTGCTATGGGCGCCGAGCTCTCTCATACTTCTAATAGCTTAAGAATTGGGATGGAGAGTGCAGGGAGGAGAAGAAGGCAGGGGATAGAAGGGAACCATGTGGGCAAGACTCAACCCAACCAGGGAAACCACCTGATCCTTTTTTCCACACTCCTCTCCCTATACTTCAGATGAAGGTCAACAGACTCTTTCCACTCTTTCTTCATCAACCTGGGTAAAGCGGTGGGGGAGGGGGTGCCTATGCCAGCGCAGTGTTCTATGGCTCTCACCTGGCCCCCTCCCGTCTATTTGAATACGGTTTTCCCCCGTTCTGAGGATGCTGCATAACACAACCATTTATTGAGTGCTCTGTTACAAAAGTGCCCTGGTGAGTGTCCTGGAAACATTTTCACCTCCTATCGTTCTCCACAGGGTAAACTTGTGTCCCACTTTATAGATTGGCAAAGTGAGGCTCAGAGGGACTAAGTCTGTTGCGCAAAGCCACGCGGCTACTCAGCAGCTGGAGTGGGAATGCGAACCCAAACTCCCCGTGGGCTGCAGGTTTCTGCAACTCTGCGGCGCGGCTCACACTTTCCTGCTTGCCGCGCCCCGCCTCTGCATCCCAGCCGGGAGTGGGTCGCCAGGCCGGCTCCGGGAGGAGCGTGCCTCTGCAGCTAATCGCCGGCCGCCCCCGCCTCCGTTTCACCTCCTGGAGACGACCTGGTCGGCTTTGCTGGAGCTGGCCCCCGCGGCCGCTCTACGCCGCCGATTGGCCGGCGGTAATTACGGGCACACTCCGGGAGGGGGGAGGGGCGAGGGCGGCCTCCCGCGAGCATAAATTATGCAAATACCCGGGCGCCGCACGGGGCTGACCTGACGCCTCGCTTCATTCACCCCGGCTGCCGCGGGGGCGGAGGTGGCAAGGGAGGGGGGATGCCCATTGTTGCGCCGGGTACTTAAGGGGTCCTGAGGCCGGTCGTGTGCCACACTCGGTGCTCACACGAGCTGATCTCATCGCCGGCGACATCACTCGGGAGACCGGCCGGGCGCGTGGCCCGTGCAGGCGAGGCCAAGTTCTCCGTGCGCTCCTGAGCCATTCTAGGCCCTCGCGCCGGCAGCCGCCACACAGTAACCCCCGGCTGTCAGCGTAAGTGCGGTGGCCCTGCCCTCGGCCCAGGCGTCTGTCTTCTTGAGCGCCTTCCTGTCCATCTGTCCGTTCTGCCCAGCGCCACGATGCCCGCTCCTCTAGAGACCACCTGCCTCTCAGACCTCGACTGTGCCAGCAGCAGCAGCAGCGATCTGTCCGGCTTCCTCACCGACGAGGAAGACTGTGCCAAGCTACCACCGCCAGCCTCCGCGTCTGGGCCACCTGCGCCGGCCCGCAGAAATACACCCGGGATCTCTGGGGCATCCGATGTTCCAGGGGCGCAGGACGAGGAGCAGGAGCGGCGGCGGCGCCGGGGCCGGGCGCGGGTGCGCTCCGAGGCGCTGCTCCACTCGCTACGCAGGAGCCGGCGCGTCAAGGCCAACGATCGCGAGCGCAACCGCATGCACAATTTGAACGCGGCGCTAGACGCACTGCGCAGCGTGCTGCCCTCGTTCCCAGACGACACCAAGCTCACCAAGATCGAGACGCTGCGCTTCGCGTACAACTACATCTGGGCTCTAGCCGAGACTCTGCGCCTAGCGGATCAAGGGCTGTCCGGGGGCAGTGCCCGGGAGCGCCTCCTGCCGCCGCAGTGCGCCCCCTGCCTGCCCGGGCCCCCAAGCCCCGCCAGCGACGCAGAGTCCTGGGGCTCCGGTGCCGCCGCCTCCCCCTGCGCCGCTGCCGCCTCGCCGATCTCTGACCCCAGTAGCCCGGCCACCTCCGAAGACTTCGCCTATGGCCCCGGCGACCCCCTTTTCTCCTTCCCAGGACTGCCCAAAGACTTGCTCCACACGACGCCCTGCTTCATCCCTTACCACTAGGCCCTTGGTAGACACCCTTACCTTTCCCCTCCCTCGGTCAACAGGCAATAGATTAGGCCCCAGCTGTGGCCCCCAGTCTAGGTGGAGGGAGGAAGCGGGAGCTTTAAAGGGATGAGGGATTCCTGAGCCGCTTGTCAGGTCGCTGCACCCTCTCTGCGGCCGCCTTGGTCTGTTTCTCCAGCCCTCAGTTCTGGGCCCCTCCTGCTCGCCCCTGGACGGCCTTTCCTTTTGCACTTTCTGAACTCCACAAAACCTCCTTTGTGGCTGGCTCACAACTGACCCCAGCCACCACTTCAGTGTGATTTAGAAAAGGGACAGATCAGCCCCTGAAGACGAGGTGAAAAGTCAATTTTACAATTTGTAGAACTCTAATGAAGAAAAACGAGCATGAAAATTCGGTTTGAGCCGGCTGACAATACAATGAAAAGGCTTAAAAAGGAGAGACAAGGCGCGGGCTTCATGCATTATGGATCCCGCCCCCCACCACTGCAGGCTCGCTCTAGGAAGAACGGAGACTCTTGCTTAGCTATTCAGGCACCAGGCTGGAGAGTACTTTAATTTATTCAAGATGCTTCATTCATATGAAAATGTATTTTTGTACATAAAGAGTTTATTCTATTATGAGCTATCAAAGTTTACATTTTGTACTGCAGATACTTCGTGTAAATAAAAACAAAGTGAAAAATAAGTCACTGAGTTTCTTGTCTAATGTTAGTGTCTCCGGGGCTTTTCTTGCTTTCCCTCAGTGGATGGACCACTAAAGTGAAACACTATCCTGCCCACCTTCAAGCCCTCCAGTCTTGTTTCAAAAACAATTAAAAATAAAACGCACCTGACTTCCACCAAGAAATGGATAAAGACAGACTAGGGCATTTGGGATCTATCATTTCCTTTCAGTTGTAAACACAAGGGAGATCTTTCAGGCTCTGCATAAGCCAATTAAGACTTTTTAGTAGGGAATTAGCCCCGGATACACAGCTACCTGTAGAGGTGGGGGGAGTGGGAGAGTCTTTCTTTTGAGGAACTCTACATCAGCTGGCTCTGTGTTTCAAAGAGAGGGGATTAGAAGGATCAATACAGTGTGACCACTGGCTAGGAAGCCCCAGTGCCAGGTGGGCCTAGGCTAGGCAAACAGAAGGGTCCACTCTTATAACAGCCTATTTAGAGGGGGAAATTGATTTGTAAACAATGCCTCCAAGTTGCTGTCCATCCAGACTGGGTTTGCCCTGGCTGTGAGGTGTGGGATGAATTATGCCAGTGTGGTGTCCTGAGTGGGGCATGCAGCTGCGTTAAGATTGTAAGCTAGGGTGTCTGAGCCCCACAACACACACATATCCCCCACTGAGTCACAGTGGGGGGGGGGAGGCATTCAGAGAGAGGGCTTGGGTGCTGAGCTTGCTCAGCCTGTCCTCAGGGGTGATAGCCAAATCTTTCATTTGCTGCCAGAGAAATCAGCCACTCAAACTCAGTGGGGATTTTCTTGGCTGTAGTGTGTTTGTCTGTTGTCTGACAATTAGCTAACAGTGCTGCCAGTAGCAGCTTTTGTTTTGAATTTTAGAATATAGATAATTACAAGAGGTAGTTCCTAAATGCTGTCACTGACTGTTTACCCAGCTCACAAGTTACCCTACACTAAGACAAAATTTTTTCCCACTGGGTGTTCCTTTTCATGAAGATAATTATTTAGTGGCAAGGTGGGGGTGGGTGGGAATGGGTTGAGGAAAATGGATTCTATAGTACTATAATAACTCTATTCCTATAATATTAGAATGACTCTGACCCAAGGGCCAGAGTAAGGCCACTGACAGTATATTCCCCTTGTGGAGGGGTTTGCCCTCCTCACACACATTGTGATAAGTCAGGACCACAGGGTCATATGCTGGGTCCCCACAGGCATCAGTCAGCCCAGCCATAGGCAAGGCAACCTCCTTCAGATAAAAAGGCTACTTTACAGAAGATTCTGGAAAGACAGATGCCTTCTGTAATTGTCCAAAGCAGAGATAGCGAGTCCTCCAAGAAAAGCTCCTGAAGTTTGGTGGGCTGAGAATAGAATCACTTCTGCTAAAATCTCCAAGGAAAGAGTTGTATCTCTAAAATGACCCAGCCCAGGCTCCCACTCTACTGCCTGTCTCAGAATTCATTCAGTCTACTAGCTTTGCATTTTCTTAGAGCAAAAGGCACGAGCAGTCTGCATTAGATTTCCTGCTCTCATATATAGGATGTTTGGGAATGATTCCCTCTAGCTTTCTGAGGGGCCCAGGCTGGGTCTTAGAGAGGGGCAGGCCTCCATGGAGAGTCATCAGCCATAATCTAAGTACACAGGTCTGGGACAGAGGAAGAAAACAACATTCTGTGTTTATCATTGTCCAAAATCCTTGAGGAAAGCATCAGCAAACAGCTGGTGTAGGTGCTCAGCTGCCGATGCCCGGTCAGCACTGAAAACCATGGGGGAACACCGTGACCACTGTCATTCCCTAGTTGGTTGCCACAATTGACTCACAACTCAAGGTGCAAGACCCAGAGACCCTTCCCATAAAGAAAAGTCTTTAACAACATTGGTTTTAGAGGCAACTCTGTGCTTGCTGTTTAATACTCTTCTCCTAAGAAAGCAAGCATATACATGCAGCCCTTGGAGCTCTCAAATAGGAAAAAAGAAGGAGGGCAATTTAAAATGCCCCAGCTCAGGGGCCTCTTTCTTCCTTCAGCAACTTCTCATTCATCCTGAAGGCAAGGAGGGAGTTATTAAAATATCCTAATCAATGAGAGAGCATAGGTCTTCCTGCTGACAGTCAGGCTTCCCTATCCTTAACCAAATTTTCACCAAGCAATCGGCAGGCATTTCAGAGGGCTTATTTATTCTCTCCCTTGATCTCTTCACTTGTTTTTGTCCTCGTGTAATGTATATATCTTTATACACTGCTTGCAAGCCTTTGAGAGCCAAGGGAAGGGAAGATTAGGATGAAATAGTATGAAGACATGTGACTCTTTATCAAGCCCTTGCTATGTGCTAGGCACCTTTCTAGGCACTGGAGTGATCGAGACAGACAATGTCCCTGACCAAAAGGAGCTTACACACTAGTGAGTAGAGACAACAAATTTGGGAAAGATTGTGGTAAGTACTGAGGAGGAAAAAAAAAATCAAACTTGGTAAAGATGAAATTTCAGGGTGGAAGAGAGATGGCTCTTTTATAAAAGATGGTCAGGGAAGGTCTTTGAATGAGGTTATAGGAAAGGAGGCCTGAATGAAGAGAGGGAGGGAGCAAACCATGCCTGTGGTGGGCATAGGGACATCCTTGGGAGAAGGTCCAGCAAGGGGAAAGCCCTGGCCATGCACATTGTACTGAGGGCCAGCAAGGAGGCTGACAGAGCTGGAGCAGAGGGCATGAGCAGGCCCAGGGGAGAGCGAGACGGGGCAGTGCCATTCACCTTGAGCCTTGTAAACTATTATAAGGGCTGTTTTGTTTTGTTTTGTTTTCCTCAAGGTGATTGCAGGCTTGAAAGCAAAGGAGTGATAGGAATGATAGGAATTGCCCTGTACTTTCAAAGGCCACACTGGTTGTGACATGGATGATAGACTTTAGGGGCCAGGGCAGAATCTGGGACCCAACCAAGCATCTGTACACCAGTCCTGGAGAAAGGCAGATAGCAGCAGAAGTGATGAACAGTGGGCAGAATCAGGACACAGTTTGAAAGTGGAAACACCAGGATTTGTTGTCAAGTATGAAAAGAGAGGAGTGAAGAATGACTTCGAGAATTCGGATCAGGAGCAGTGAGGACCGAGAATCCGGCCCACAAATTCCTCTACAAAGACTGAGGGAAATAGTTATCTTTGCCTGAAGTTAGCACCCAAAGCAAAACGGAAACACAAGTCTCTGTGTCCATAAGATAAAGCCAGTTTGGTGCTCAAGAGGACCATCACTTTGTCCAGATTGGGGCCTAAGCAAAATGCCTCAAAGAAAATTCATAATGAGGGGAGGGGAGGGGTGGGGCTTGTGATGTCATGGGCAGTGCCCTCAGTAACACTTCTGTCATCATCGCCATCTCAGCTAACACTTACAGAGCACTTACTCTCTGTTCTGCACACTGTTTTAAACACACTGCACACATTTATTCATTTAATTCTCACAGCCCATGAGGTTGAGTATCATTATCTTTATTGATGAAGGAAGCAAGACGCACTCAAGTAACTTGCTTAAGACTACACAGCAAGTAAGCTATGAAGCTGGGATTTGAACCCAGATAATCTGATCTAGCATTCCTGCTGTTTCATAGACTGTCACTCAAGAAATAACAATGAAACCAAGCAAGAAATGTTATGAGCCACAAGCTTAGCTGTGAGGCCCAGACCGATCCAGGAGTAAGCTGGATCATAGCAGAAGGCAGAGCCAAAGCTGCCATGTGGGGCCTGGGGCTGAATGGGGAAAATAGCACATTTCCCCCACTCCTCTGACTGAGGTAGGTGAGAACTAGCTTCAGAGGGCTTAAGGGTTAAGCCTGAGTTGTCTGGCAAAAACCTTCACTGTCAGTTTGCAGGGCATCCCCTTAGCAAAAATCAATTTCTTTGCCAATGCATATCTGCCTAGAAAGTCCTGTAGGTCTTACCGCAGCCTAGACTTCCTTTAGAAAGTATTGCTGGGGTTGCTCCAACCTCAGACAAGCAGGAGATCAAAGCCCTAAGTTCAACATCAAAGAGACTAATGTTGAAGATTTTAAACTAGAAGATGTGCTTGGTGAGTTTTACCAATGGCCTGCAATGAGCATAAACCAATAATATGATCAGGTACATGTCACTTTAGGAGCTGTCACTTGCTAGAGAGACTCAGGACAAACACTCAAGCACTGAGCTTACCTGCTGCTTGCTGGGCTGATGGCCAGGAGCCAGGCAATCCTGGAGGCAAGATGCCCAAACTGGATATTAGAGTTTCAGATGGCTGAGCTTACGACATCCTTTTTGGTAGGGACACGGCAGTACTGGTTGCCTGCTAAGGTCACTCTCTAGTGGAGGCAAAGCCCTCTGTGTTATTGACATCTGCTGGCCTTAAGAGTAAGGGCCATGTATCCAGATAATGCCAAGGTGGTCCCAAGTCATTAAGACACAAGAAAAAGATAGAAGCCAGAGCATTCACTGCTTTATGAACTCAGATTTGATCTTCACTCTCTAAAGAGGCTGCAGCTGGCTCATAATAATTTCTGCTTGAGTCTGTTAAGTTAAGCTCACCTTGACACAGCCTAAACAGCTATTGTACATGGGCTTGGTGGATTGTACTGTTGTTCACAGTTGTCGGTTCCCTCCCCACATTTAATAGCTGTTCTACATAAGCTAATGATCTTTCCCATTCTAAAGGCTGATCAGGACCTGGCTTTGGCCAATGGGCTATAAGCACACAGAGCTATGCCACAAACAAGTGGAAGCTTTTGTTACACTTCCGTGGTTTGTCTCTGTCTCCACCTTTGCTTTCCAGATTCTGCTTTCTGCTTGAAGACAGCAGAACTGAGAAAGTGGCCACCCCTTCAGCTTGAGCCCCTAATGAGAACTACGTGCTCAAATCCTTATCTTAACATCTGCTTCTGTGAGAACCCAAAAACCAAGGTAGGCCACATCTTAAATCTATTCATAGCCTTCTCCTCAAAGACACCAGTAAAAGCATTCTGTGCCAAAGAAAAACTGTACCTGGCCCTTCCTAGAACTAAA